ATCATAGACAACATCCACACCATTCCCTGATGTTATTTCATTGACACAGGCAACAAAATCCTCTTCTTTATATATAATGACATGGTGGCATCCATCATCCTTGGCTTGGGCAGCCTTCTCTTTGGTTGAGACAGTTCCAATAACAGTGGCACCAAGTGCATTTGCCCATTGGCATAATAAAGATCCAACTCCACCAGCTGCTGCATGAACAAGGATGGTGTGTCCACTCTCAACCTGTGTTAAACAACATTACACTATGCAACAAAATTACACAATGCATAGAGATAACATAAGGGTTTGTTGTTTATCTGAGGGACAGTCGTGGTTGCAGCCTGAACAAGGATGATGTGTCCATGCTCAGCCTGTGTTACAACATTACATTATGCAACAAAATTACAAAATGCATTGAGGAAACATAAGGGTTTTCCATTTATCTCAGATAAAGTCATGGTGAGGAGGGCTAATGTCAGGAAAAATATTAATAGGATTCTGCCATATAGTGGTTACAGAACATGCTGTATTTATGTTTTTTACCTTGAAGCAACGACGAACCAGAAATTGAGCTGTCATACCCTTCAGCATGATAGATGCTGCAATAATAGGATCAACAGAGGGAGGAACAGGAACAACTCTATTGGCTGGGAGGATTTGTTCTTCAGCATATGAGCCCATAGGATCACCAGCATAAGCCACAATATCTCCTACTTTTTGGCCAGTCAATCCAGGCCCCACAGCTACCACCTCTCCAACAGCCTCTCTACCTGCAAAAGAAGCGAACTTTATATCTGTCAGTAGTACAATTTCATTCACAACAAAAATTCCACTTCAATCACTACATCCGTGGAAGCAGCAGCTTTGCAACTGAAAGTACTCCAGGAGATAATTTTCACATGCCATACACTGATAATCTAGCAAACATCCAGCAGAAAGAATGATAATATTAAACATAGTAAGCATGGTACTATAAGAAGCACACCATTCCAGCTACATATTTATGACAGACTGAGTTTAATTAAGCAAGTGATCAATTTGGTATGCTATCCATAGCATTCAAAAAGAATTGCTCCATTCTACACCACATGATATCTTCACTAAACAAGAAGCAACATTCCACAAGACTAAACCACAAAACTACATATTGTTTATTGCTAAATTAGTATGGAAATGAACAATGGTTCAGTAGGATTAACAAAAACCAGTTTTCATGATTTTATTAGCTTGCACATGTTACTGGCTGAAAATTTGGATCTTATAAACTTAGGGAAAATGTAACCAACCTGGGATGAAGGGCATTGCGGCAGCCTTATAAACACCTTTCCGGAAATACACATCAATGAAATTAAGCCCAATGGCTTTGTTTCTAACGCGTATCTCACCTTCTTTTGGCTCCCCTATTTCAATATCCTCCCACTTAAGGACCTATAATCAATACTCAATACCAATCTAGTCAAAGTCAGGTCAAATGGATGTCCATGCCAATCCCCAACAATTCAATTCAACTAAAAATGTAAGCTTTACATCCATCTTAAAAATAGACACCTCTATTCATCTTGATCCCAACAGGGGTTCATGACCAAGAATTGCAGCTAAATTAAGAAATTCCCAAGAAAAATTTAATCACAAAAAACATGAAACCAAAAGAAGAATTTCAAGTGGGCAGCCCGATAGTCTCACCTCAGGTCCACCATGCTCATGTACCCTAATGACCTTGACCATTTTTGTCGGCTGTGTTGCCTCCACCTCCACCCCCGCCGCCGCTGCTTATGCCAGTTTGCTTGTGTTTGTGGAAGAAAGAAGATGAAAGTAAGAGTCTGATCTTTCTTTCTCTGGCTTAAGTGCTGTAGGGAGTGTCGGAGTTTGGTAACCTTTACGAGGAAAATGGATCAGTTGGAAGTTGGAACCTGCAAGTGAAAACTTCTCAGTATACCATTTTTTAAACAGTGATCTTTTTTAACTTGTTCTATTATTTTTTATTCAACAGGGTTTTTTTAAAAATTTATTTTCCATTCAACAGAGTTAATACTTACTGCAAATTTTTTTTTTTAAATTTATTGAGTTATTTTAATTAATTAATATATATAATATAATAAATTTTTTAAAAAATTAAAAAATTAATTATTAAATAATATAAAATTTACTTTTTAATATTTTTAATTACTTTTGCTTGTTCACATATGCAATGGCGTGAAAAAGAGTTTGCTCTGCTTCTAATCCACCAGAACTTATATAATTCAGAGCAAACTTCTCTTCTCCCAGTGACAAAAGAAGATACAGAGCTTGAACTAGATATTAAACATCTTGTAGCTTACCCTCGTCATCCACTTTCCCCAGTACAAATCTTTCCCAAAACCAGTGCTTCCTCATACTTTCTCCATCTGCTCAATTGGGTCATTCTTAGTCTCTGGCAAGAAATGCACAAATGCAGTCATCACAGCCAACCATCAGGCAAAAAAGGAAGAAAAACCCTGACTAGAATTGGCAAAGCATAACTAGAAATGTTTGTCCAGTGATAAGCTTAGGAGAAACCTCACTGCTGCTGCCATACTGCGCCCTGCTGCGCCCTGCTGATCAAATTTCTAGTGGAAGAATCTCACTAGACACTGAAAATCCTAATGGATCCCATGCCAGAGCGAAACCAGCAACATATACACATACAAACAGTAAAACTAAGTAAGCATACCCTTTTGTTAGTCAGGCTGCAAGTATTCCCCCAAGCACTATTTGTGAAAGAAAAATAATAGTTCCTCCAATTATGAACAGTTTCTTTCGGCCAATTTTATCTACCATAAACATCAATGTGACAAAAAAGCTGCTACTCACTAGGAGAATCATGACCGCAGCCTAGAGTGAAGCATTTTTTCCTTGGCCAATTGTGTAAACCATTATTGGACGTTAGAATGTAGTGACATGGATACTGGTTATCTGTTGGAAAAAATGAACAGCAACTGCCATTACCAGTTGAGGCCTGTACTTTCATTACCTGTTCTTCTTAAATAGGTTATTGATTGTTTTTGAGACTGAGCTTGCTTTTATGAGTCATCAAATTTTACCTGGACATCAGTAGTGCCTCGAATGAGCTCTAGCACATTTTTGGCTTTCTGGTGGTTCTTACTGTTAAGTATCAGACTGTTGGGTGTTTCTGGAAGAAAAAGTGTACATGGTGTAAGAATTGCTGCTATGACTGCTGAAAATAGATAAGGAGATGCGCCAACCCCAACTGCCCTTTATCTTTGCAGTGCCAAAACTGGTAATGTTAGCCACAAGTAGGCCAATGACAAAACCTAATCCAAAGACAACATTCATTTTTCCTCTGTGTCAGGGTAATGCCATTTCAGAGATGTACAGAGGGACTGACTGTAGAGCGAAAAAAAAAAGAAGGTACAAAATGGTTTTTTTAGGAGAAGAAAAAGTACAAAATGTTAGATATAGAGAAGAAAAAATTTATAGAAATATCTAAGAATATCTATTCTCTAAAAAAAAAATCATTAATAAAACTTAGATATCCTTAACTTCTTGAAAAGTTTTTTAAATTTATCTTTTTTTTATAGTTCAATCAAAGAATAGCTATTACTATTTACCACCAACCAAACATAACCTTAGTTAAGTGTAGCATTTTTCCATTAAAAGACTTTGTAAGGGAGCATGGATCACGAGGGAATGAAAATGAGATGGAGCTTATAGTCACCCACCACTGTGATAAACTTAATTAATTCAAAATACATTATTTGGAAAGCATACTAGCAGAGACTAGCAGCAAAATGCGTATTTAATATCAAAAGAACTTCACTAAAAATGTCCATGACAAGCATTTCATTCTTATATCATTCTTATAGGGTAGCGTTTATCCATTGAAAAGTTTTGCAAGGGAGCATGAATCGTGAGGGAATGAAAATGAAATTGATATATAAGAATATATTTTTTGAGAGAGAAGGCAAGTGTATATTCATTCAAAAGCTCTCAAAATATACATATACACCTTGCATAACCGTGGCTAAATTAGTATATCAAATAATCAGTTTTCCAGCAGCCTGAATATCCCCCATATTCACCACCCGACCATCAGTCCTACTTTCCTCAAAAATTCTAGGTACCCCAATGGCCCAACATTCTTCCAGACAATCCTGTACCAACTCAATTTCGTAGCAGTAGTATATCTCAATGGTTGCTAACAATAACGTTTAGAAAAAGTACCTGGCCTCAAGCAAGCCTTATCAAGTTGGTCTCTAGGCTGAACTTGCTTCCCTTCAATCTTGTTCTCAAAAACCGATCTTTTGACCTCTTTCAAGTTCACTCCACCATGAAATCTGTATCAATTGATGGAGATCTCAGGTTCCCTTCTCCTGTTATAGCCTCAGTTGTTGAGAATTGATGTTTGAGTCTGAAATTGCAGTAGAGTTTTTCAATTTTACGCTCAAGGTATGTTCTGATGATGGGAATTACAATCTACCAAAGGCTTTTGGTGGAGATAAGAGTTAATTTCAAAAAACTTTTCTAAAAAAGTGTGTTTGAGGCATTTCAACTTTTGTGGCAAAATTCACTTTTCATAAATAATGGAGTTCCTATTGCCATTACTAATAATATGGCCATAGCCATTAAGAGTAGTTGAGAAAGGTGCATGCCACTTAAACACGGAGGTCTTAGGTGGCAAAAGATGAAGGTGCCCATTAGACAGAAGTATAGAAACATAGCTTTGAAGGTGCTTCTATTCAACTTAAAAGAAAAAAACAGATTCAAACCAAGTACAAACAACAAGCTACATCATCTTCCAATGAGGATCATTTATGTCTCTGATTACAGATATTGCTGCTATGTCCAGATGCAACAACAACAAGAACAGTGTTTGCTCAGCTACTAATTGAACACAACGTAGAATTGAATGCAAACTAGATATTATGCATCTTGTAACTTACACTTTCTCAGTCCTCATCCACTTCACCTGCAAATCTTTTCCAAAACCAGTGCTCCCTCCAGACTAGCTCCATCTTCTCAATAGGGACCTTCTTAGTCTCCGGTAAAAGGAAATGCACAAATGCAGTCATCACAGCCAACCATCCAGCCAAAAAGAAGAAAACCCCTGACTTGAAGTGGCAAAGCATGGCAAGAAAAGTTTGTCCGATTATAAAATTTAAGAGAGAGAATACCGAAGCTGTGATACTTTGCCCGGCTGATCGAATTTCTAGAGGATAAATCTCACTAGGCACTAAAAATCCCAATGGACCCCATGATAGATAGAACCCAGAAACATATAAACACACAAGAACTAAAATCAAGTAAGCATAACCTTTTGCAAGCCCACCATAATCCCCAAACAGAGCCGTAAATATTGCCCCAAGTGCAATTAGTGACAGAAACATTTGAGTTCCCCCAATCATGAAAATAATCCTTCGGCCAATTTTATCTACCACAAACATCATTGTGATTATAAAGATACTACTCACAAGGCGAATCAAAAATGCAAACAGGAGTGAAGCAGCTTCTCCCATGCCAATTGTCCGGAACAGTATGGGAGAGTAGAATGAAATGATATCGATACCAGTCATCAGTTGGAAAAAAGGAATAGCCACTGCCATTACAAGTTGAGGCCTGTACTTTCGTTGCCCGATCTTCCTCAATAGGTTGTCGGTTGCTTTAGAGGCTGAGCTTGCATTTATGAGATCATCAAATTCTACTTGGACATCACTTGTGCCTCGTACGCGCTCTAGCACATGTTTGGCTTTCTGGTGATTCTTACTGCTTAGTATCAGACTGTTGGGTGTTTCTGGAAGAAAGAGTGTACATAGTATAAGAATTGCAGCAGGGACAGCTGTCATAGATAAGGAGAGACGCCAACCCCAACCGCCATTTATCTTTTCAGTGCCAAAATTGGTAATGTTAGCCACAAGCGAGCCAACAACAGCGCCTAATGCAAAGAAAACATTCGTTTTTCCTCTGTGTCTGGGTAATGCCATTTCAGAGATGTATAGTGGGATTGACTGTATAACAACATGTTCAAAAAAATCAGATCTCAAGAAGGAAAAACAAATAGACAATCTCAAAGTTTTGGATGCCGATCCTGACGTTACACTTGCTCAAAAATGTACTAGTACCCCTTGTCTAATTCCTTTTCACTTAATGCTAGGGATGTTTATTAAGACAAGGGAGTTCTTAAGAAACTTTGCTTTCTCCCAACAAAATTTAATTTTTTAGCTTCAACAAAACCATGTAAGACATTATCAAGATAACCAATAAGAGCATAGTTTTCTTAGCAATTCCAAAGTTGATTATCGTCCATAGTTGTTCATTTTTTTCCACCTCAGTTAAACCAAATATATTCTCCCAAAGAGATGTTTTCTTTAATTATGACGTTTTTTCATTAACTTAAGTTTTAACCCGCAAAGGAATAATAGTTAAAAGAGAAGTGAATCATTAGGTATTCTTTTCTACCCTGTTCATTTTTGTGCCTTTCTGAATTCAGAAGAATATTATAATCAGAAGATCAAAAAAATATGAGGGAAATAATTTACTTACCTGATTTGTAAATCCAAGCCCTACACCGAGCAAGACACGACCAAATATCAGCATGTAAAGGTTTGAAGCTGCACCTTGAAGAGCTGAACCGGTGAGAAATGCAACTCCTCCCACAAGAATTGATGGCTTGCGTCCAAAGACTTTAGTTACCAGCGACGCAAAAAAGGAAGCAATTACACCAGCTAGGTACATTGAAGAGGTAAATAAGGTTAAAAGCTGGCTATTAAATTTGCAGTAATTGCTAACACGTGTGTCTTCTTGCATCCTTTTGTATACATCTGGGAAGAACTTGTTGAGAAATGGTGTCATGGATGTTACTCCACCTTCAGAATCCCAATGGAAGTAAGTAATCACAAACCATGAACAGAAACAACATCAACAATGATAAGAATAAGCAAGAATACTATGACAATTAATTTTCTATTTGAGGATAATTACGTTTAATGTTTCATAAACAATTCCAATAAGACAGACCTGAAATTCCAATATCATAACCTAAGATAAATCCTCCTGTGGCAACCATAAAGCTTGACAAAACAATGATTATGGTAACCCTGCCATTGTATTGCTGGCCTTCGACATTTAATGAAATTGTGGTATGCATGGTTTAATCTTCCAAGATCAATCTCAGCTCTCACTTAATTATAGTCACAACTGTGATAAACTTAGTAGACAATACACTACTTATAAGAGAACACTTGCAAGGCCAAGCATCAAAATATCTCAGGTAAAATGCATATTTCATGTCAAATAAATTTCACTAAAAAACCCATGTGCAAGTGTTTAATTCTTATTGGTCGCACTCATCCATTAAAAAGATTCCGTCGTGGAGAGCGAGAATCACGAGGGAGCAAAAATGAAATGGAGACAACTATAATATATGATAATCATGACGGCGTGATTTCGTGATCTTGAAAAAGATACAGCATTCCCATCAATCAAAGTTTCATTTTCGAGTCTTAAACAAAGTTTTAAGTTTAAAATTTTAAATTTAATTCACGAAGAAATAGATATTAAAAGAGTATTTACCTTAATTATAAAATTTAATATGGATCGATTTTAAATTACTCAAAAATTAATATAATTATCAAATATCATAATGTCAATACCAAGAAAAAAAAAATCATTTTCGATCCAGATATGCATAGTAATGCCGTGTCTGCATTTATATTTTAGAAACTCAAGTTGTCATGGAAGTCGCTGTCACGGATTTCATCTTCAATAAACTAAATAAAAACCCAGATGATTCTAAATTGTGATAATGATTTTTGTTCAATGGCCAAAATCAAATGAGAAAAGCACCTACTTTAGCAAAAATCTAACAGAAAGGGATTTAATTTCAATTTGGTTTGGGATTTATCCATTACTTCTATCTGATCCGTTCTGTCCCACACTTCTTCTCTTCGGCTGCTATCTCATCATCTTGCTTCCTTTCTTCCAACGGTGGAAGTGGAACGCATCCTCCAGGTCATATATAATTCTTTGAATCCCAGCTCCCATTCCCATGTCCTGTTCCATCATCCCTTCCCCCAACTAATTTCCACCGTCTACAACGTCATCGGAAAAAAAAAATCCCAAAATTCAAACCAATAATTTCAAGAACTAGGGATTGTGCGTACGAATGTAAGTGCAATTGCTATCAAAGGAGTCAATGAAATTTTAACGTCGTATTGGTCCTCAACTTGTCCATTGTCTCATTTGAGGTCCTCAACTTTGTTTTCACTCCAAAATTGTTAATTAATAAACTTATTTTTAAGATGAACTAACAAGAATTCGACTAATTATTTAGTACTTATAAATCTAAAAAGTTTGATTTAGGTTAAAATTTGTATTGCTAAGTAGCTAATCCTTAGATATATCCAAAAAAAAAAAAAAAACTTAATTATGGGGTTAGTGAGGGTAGATACGAAACATCAAAATATTAAAGAAAATTATTGTATGTATTAATTAATGGATGAAGTTCAGTAGTTTCATTAGTACTATTGTTTGTTTTGTTAGATTTGATGTAGGCAATGATGATGAGAGGCCATAGATTGGGCTTGTATTTTGCTCAAATTAATACCATGAGTTTTTGGTACATAGTCATGCAATATTATAAATTAATTTTTACGTATCATACTAAGTTTACACTTGAAATAGAGAATTTTTAGAAAATGGTTCTTCTTGTCTCCCCAAATGCCCTTTTAACGTTAGTAAACTATCTGAGGTCGCATTCTCATCTCAATATTTAGTCATCCGTGTCTAACATGGGTGCCAAAATATGTTTGTGAGAAGAAGTGTAGGAAGAAACAGAAAAAGATTGATCTATCTGTTCCTAGGTGGACTCTCTCTGACCTTGAACATGTAGTAAGTTCAATTATAAATTCATCCAATATCTTGGAATCAAAGTCCTTTAAAATTTTGTCTACTTTTCCACCTGTTTCAGTTTATTTTATACTTTAGATGTTTTACTAATTTGTAGCGTCTAAGCAATAATTTATTAACTTGAGTAGTTAAGTGCTTTTTCTTGTTGTTGGACTCCAACTGTGCTGGCTTTGTTTACAAACCATACATGGGACATTGGAAGGAGTTAAAGCTGGACGGAAACACTAGTTTTGGACTAAAGGTTGATAGTTAGACTTTGACTTGGATCATGTTATGAATTTAATTAAAATTCATCCAAAATATCTTGGGATACAAGTCCTTTCAATATTGCACTTGCATCAGGTCTTACAGCGCAAGAAGCTGATGCGCTTGCACTTGCAACTCATGGCCTTTGTCATAATTAACTGCAATGAAAAAAAATTTGGCTCTTCAATTTAATTTAGTTATTTTGAATAGTGTGTATAGACTATAACTAATAGTTAATATTTAACAAGTAATAGTATTGAAATTATAAATAATAACAAATATACATTGCATGTCCATTATCAGCTATTGTCGGCTGCTCTTACACTGAGCTTTTCTTCCCCTAAATTTCCTAATGTTAAAAAAATTACTATCAAAATTTGTTGAATGCTCC